GCGACTTCTGTTCACCTCGCGCCTGCGCCTCCGCGCCCGCAAAAGAAGTCGAGCGCGCAGATCCGTTCGGGAGGGCGAGCAGTGCTCCGTTGGCTGCGGGCCCGTGCCTTCGCGAAAGCATCGGCGCGCGTCGCGGTCGCGCGCCTGCGAAGGACCCGTCGGAGCCATCGCCGGATGCCGAGGCCCGCCATCCATCTGATGGCCCCGCCTCGCACCTTGAAGGTTCGGGAGCCCAGGAGGCGCAGAATCGCAGGGGCCTTACGGCGGCGCACTCCTTGCAATGAACGAGGTCATCGGCCCCATCGCGCCCGAAGCAGCACCCTCTACCCGCCGCGCGGAGGTGCGGTGCAAACGATCCCGGGGAGCGCCATCAGAACCCCCTCTGCCGCGCGGGCGCACTCGGCCTTTTCGACTGCCCTGAGCGCCGAGCGAAGGCTGATCGTGCAAGCGCAAGGCGTGCCGCACAACCATCTCTCCACCCGCGCCTGCAAGCGCAGCGGGTGCGGGGGGGGGCGCTCGGAGGCCGCCGACTTGGGGGGCTTCTGAGTCCTCGCCCAGATCCTCGGGGTGGAAACGCCTGAATCGAGGGGCTGAAATATCCGCGGCATCTTCGCCACACAACTCATCGCATAGTTCTGCCACCCCGGGGGGGGGGCTGCAGACAGAAAGCCAGCTCGCAATCCGAATAGTCCGTCACCGAACGAGAACCCGATACTTCGCATAGTCGGGGTGTAAACCAAGATCCACGAACCCTGAAGACACCCCAAGACCACGCCTTACGGGCATGTGTACAACGACTCAGGTATTGCTGGGGCCCCGCAGCATGGATCCGCAAGTCTCCCCGATACTGACGAAAAAGCTCTAGGGTCACTCTGCTCAGCTGAGAAGCAGCAACATCGGCACAGCTGAAAAGCCGCCGGTAGTCCGAGCGCTGGCGACCGCAACTGTCTGGCACGCTTCAAGCACGGATCCACCACTTACGCCCGCGCCACTACGCGCGCCCACATCCCCTAGGGCTCCCAACTTCGCGCTTCGCGCTGCGCGAAGCGCGAATAACTTCGCGCTCTCGCGCCGCCCTCCCAGGGGGAGAAGAGGAGGACGAGGAGGAGGGGGAGAAGGAACGAGGACCGCGAAGCGCGAAGCGCGAATAACTTCGCGCCCTCGAGGGAGCCCGCGCGCGCCCCGAACTTGATGGCTAGGAGCCCGCCCGCATCTCCTCCGCGCGCGTTCTCCGAGGTGGGGCTCGCGGGAGGGGGTGCCGCGTGCCAGGGAGAGGCGCCTCCCCTGGCCGAGGGGCGGGCCGATGGCAGGAGCGAGCTGTTCGAAGACCAGGAGCGTCGGCATCAGGTTGATCGCCATACGGCGGGTTCGTGTCGTGCCGACCCCAGCGTTGGTTTTTGACACCGCAGGGATCGTTCAACCTTGAACGATCGGCCGTCTCCGCAACGTCCAATCGTTCAACATCGGTCGATTCTGGGTCGCCGGCGGCGTTCAACCTTGAACGCCCGCGCTGGGGTCGCCGCTGGTCGACACGACGCAAACCTACCGTAGTCTGGCCCCGAGAACCTCGGCCATGAGGGCGCGCCAACTCCAAGTCTGGCTTGAGAGAACAGGGTCACTGAGGCCCCCCACCCCCCCTAGGAGAAGTCAACCTTTCGCCCGTGGCGCGCCGCCCCGATGCGCGGGCGACATCGGCCGCGGCCGCGCTGTCCGTGCGCGGAGCCGCGAAGCCCCGCCGCCGCCGAGGGAGCGCCCGTCGCCGTCAAGACAGCGCAACTCCTCTCGCCACATGCACATGAGAAGGCCGCGGAGGGAAACTGCAAAAGTGTGTCCAGTCCCATGCACTTCCCCGCAAATGCTGCAAGAGACTGCATTGTTCAGCTTCGACCATCTTTTCCTATTGGCTTATGCCTTGCACCCCCGTCCGCGCGCGCGCGCACCACGACTGCGCGGCGCGTCGCGGCGCCCAGATCAACGCGGAACGGGTTGGCGAGCAGGGCGAGCGGCGCCAGGGGCACACAGCGCGCCACCATCTGCTGCCCCCCCCCCCTTCGGCCGGCAAGCCGCGCGGTTGGCCCAAGATGCAGGCGAGGGGCGAAAGCCTCAGGATTCAAACGCCAAAGGTCAAACATAACAGAAAGCCCCTGTCGCTTCAAGAAACGCCCAACAACGGTGCGGGATGCCATCGGGCCCCAAGGCGGAGTGCTTCTCGGCCCTGATCCGCCCAAAAACCGCACTGCTCAACCGCCACCGGGCACCCGCGGGGTCCTCTCGGACACTCTGAAAGGCGCCGCGCGATGGGGCCCCAAAGGCCACAGTCGCAGCAGCGTCCGGGTCGCCGCGCGGGGCCCCGTGCTGTGCTGCAGCTCGCACGTGGGTGCCCCGCTCGTCTCGGCACGCCTCTCACACGTTTCGTGGCCCCGCGGGGAGAGCTCCACCGAAGGTCCCAGGGGCGCAGTCGCACGTGGGCGTCGTGTCCGCGTCGGCACACAACTCGCAAGCTTCGTGGCCCCATAGGGAGCTCCACCGGAGGCCCGAATGGCGCAGCTCGCATGTGGGCGTCACGCCCGTTTCGGCACACCCCGCAGACGTTTCGTGGCCCTACAGGGAGTTCCACCGGAGGTCCCAGTGGGAGGGTTTACATGCGACCCCCCCCTCGCCAAATCGGCGCGCCCCTCGCACGTTTTGTCGCCCCATGGGGAGTTCCACCGAAGGCGATCCTCACAACTGCGGCACTCACAACTGCGCATGATTGGGTCCTTCGCCAGGCTGAATGTTTCAAATGGAATCCAATCGGAAATTCGCAGACGCCATCCTTAGCATTGAAAATGGTATTTTCGTCACGTCATCGTCGGCCCCGAACCTGAGCCCGACCGCTAGTGGTATCATGTGTCATTGAAATATCCGAGATAATAATAATAATAATAATGATAATAATAATCGTTCGCGACGTCGCACTACAAGTAATAGTCGTCGTCGTGATAGCAGAGTAAGACCCGTAGCAATCGTACTGATAATCGCAATGGCCATTCCAACACTGGTGGTGATGATTGTAGCAGCTGTAGCAGTAACGACAGGACCCGGCGTTGGTTCTCAGGACGCCCAAGACAGCCACAAAAAAACAAGAAACGCTCAGGAGTTTCATAGGAGACGCCCGAAGGCTCCAAAAGAGGCAGGTCCAATTGCCTCTGGAGCCCTCCGCCCCAAGATGGCCCACGGGACGGCCAGCTCGCTAGGAAGGTCCTCTATCAGCTTCAGCTCCAGATGCCACACAGAAACTACCAGGAGGGTCCCAGGAGGCTCCCGAAAGAAATCCAACAAACCTCCAAAAGGCCTCCAAAAACCATTCGAATTAGGAAGCCTCTTATCCGCGACCCAGGCACGGTGGCGGGGTGGACAGAAGGCCACTGTCGTCGCGTCTTTTTCGCAACGCGGGCCCAGAGGTCCGGAACCCTCCCCAGGGACCAACTTTTCAACCTGAACAAAATCTTCAACAGGCCCAGGCCCAGGTGATGGTCCTGTCCTGCCGGAAATGGCAGACAGCAAATTCGCCATGATTTCTGCCACCCCGCGGAGGGATCTGGCAAGGAGGCCCCGGACCTGGGGGGCCGCCCGAATGCCCAGAGTGGGCTGGAGGTAGCCGAGGTCGGAGGATCACGCCACATTCACTGGTGCATCGGCGATGCATCAGCGACGCCGGGGTGTGGAAGCTCGGGGAAGGGCCTACCATGGTGAGCCGCCCATCGTGGCAATCCTGGCTCGACTCTGTCGAGGCCTTGAAACGGGCGGGGGGGAGAAATGTCGGCACGGATTGCACGGTGCGTCCAAGGCGCCCAGGGCTTGCCCAAAATCGTGCCCGCGGGCCCGGGCAGACGACAAACGGTTACTGTTTCAAAGGTCCCAAACTTCCGGCGTATCGACTCGTTCAAGACACGGGAGCCCTACCTCTCGATCACTTCCCTGGGACCCGTTCTTCATCCCGAACCGTTGTTTGATGGCCAATGACCCCGGTAAGGGCCCCGACAGGCCGAAAAAAAGATGAAACATCTCTGGGCGTCGCATATGGGCGGGGCGATGAATGGGGGGGCAGCGAGGGCTGCAGAAAGCAGGGCCCTGGGCCCAAAAAGAATCCTTGAGGGCCAGAAACAAGGCACCCTCCCCACCCATTGATCGACCCCATCATTCATTGAGCAGGGACAGACTGTCCAGGCATTCCCGCAGCTCTGCCACGACATGTGCTTAGAGCTAAAAAATGTTCGAAGAACAAAATTAATGTTTTTTGGAACACAACACACACATACACACACGATAGATTGAAACAGCACGGGCTCAGCCAGAATTGCTCTCAGAACACGTCGTGCAAAACACCATCGGTTCTGAGACCATTTTCTGGTGGGCCTGCAGGCAGGCACAGACGCTGCGCCATCTGCTTGAACTCGGGCCCCCGACGTCGCGCCGCACTGCCATGGCGCTGGAGCGACGCGGCGCGGTCCTCCGACCCTGCCTGTGTTCCCCCAGCCCTTGCGGAACCCCTTGGGGGAACGCCTGGGAGAGGAACGGAAGAGGACTAGTGACCAGGACGGTGGCCTGCCTCCGAAGAGGCAGGTCCAAGATAAAGGGAAAGGCACAAAAAGAGAGGGCGCCGCGCTTTGCGCGAGTCTCACCACGGACAGGCCCCATAACATGGGAGTAGAAAGGGCTTACCAGGAAGAGAAGGGGGGCGGATGAGAGGGAGGGGAGGGAGAAGGAGGACATAGGAGGAGGACGAAGAGGAGGAAGAGGATGAGGAGGCCGAGCAGGAAGAATCGCAGTGGAGCTCCGGCCAAGGGGTATGGTAACTACGTTGAGCTCTGCACGCTGCTTATGCAACGTGGCCTCGCTGGAGACGCGGGTAGCCCTCTTGGGGCCCGCGGGGGCCGGCTGGCGGCGCGGGCCGCAGACGACGCGCGAGAGGTACCGCCGCGCGCTAGGGCCCGCGCCGCGTCGGCCGGTTCGGCTCGTCACACGCTGGGCACCGCCTGTGGCGGCGGCCGCGGCCGCGGTTCCCAGAGCTACGACCAGAATGACGTCACGAGAAGACTGGCTCCAGATACCGTCCAGGATTTCCAGAGTAGCTGGCGGCCCCCGCTTCTGTAGCCCGGGTGGAACATCAGGGGATCCGGGAACTCCTGGAAATCCTGGGACGTTGCATTTGACTACCTACCAAACCACCCCAACCCAACCCGAAGACCCGAATTTGACCCGAATTTCGGGTTGGGGGGGGTACGGGTTCCATGTGTTTTTTCGACGTTCCCCGACCCCCCCCCCACTGGAAATGAAGGGCAAATTGAGGCCTTCGGGTTGGGTTGGGGTGGTCTGGTAGGTGGTGAGCATTCCTCTGACCTCTTGCCTCTCCGAAGATCCCTCGAAGCATGAACAGACCGCGACGGACGGCTTTTTCTTGAGGCTCGGCCCCTGCCGGGCCCTCGCCGTGCCTCGGGGCGGCCACGAAGTGGCTCGGCATGAAAAACGCTGGTCCCAAGGCAAGGGGGGTCGAGGCCCCTATAGGGGTCGAGTTCACGACACATTTCGTGCCGTCGGGAGCCTGTGGCGACGGCCGCGACCGCGGGCCCGCGGGCGAACGGGCTGGCCGACTCCTGGGCCACCCGTGCGCAGATTTCGGGCGGATGGTTCCTAGACGTCCGGCGTCCCGCAGAAACAAAAAATCGAAGCTGCGGCTTTTCATCGTTTTCGGCATCTCGGCGCCCTCACCGGGCCTCGGGCGCTCCTCGTTTCAGCCCTCTCGGGACCCTCACGGGGCCTCGATCGTTTGGCCTCACTCGTTTTCGGCCCTCTCGGGGCCCTCACTGGCCTCATCGGGCAAGCTTCTCGACAAGTCTAAACGCTGCATGTCTGGGGTCCGCGCGCGCGCGGGTTGGCCGGCTCCTGGGCCACCCATGCGCAGACATCGGCGGATTATGTTTCCCACCAACCTGTTGCGTTGGTTGCTCCTTTTGAGACAGCGCCCCGCGTCCTCCTCCGTCGTTCCTTCCTCCTCCCCCTCCTCTCCCTCCTCCCATCCCTGCCGTCTGCTTTACGCGTGTCAATTTTGGTGTACGCCTCACGCGTTTCGTGGCCAAAGAGGGAGTTACACCGTACCGCCAAGGGAGTGGTTCTGCGTAACGTCCCACTGCCAGTTCTGGCGCATGCCTCACACGCATCGTGGACCTATGATGGGCTCCACCGAAGCTGCACCGCATATCGTCCTCCAGACGATCCTGGCGTACCACTCACACGTTTCGTGGCTCAGTTCGGACCTGGAAAGAAGACCTCGGGGGGGTGGTGCCGCGCAGCGTCACCCAGCCCATTCCGGCACATCCCTTACACGCTTCGTGGCCCCTTGGAGAGCTCCACCGAAGAGGTGGTGCCGCAGAGGGTCCCCCCGCCCATTTCCGCACACCCCTCAAACGTTTCGTGTCCCCAGAGGCAGCTCCACCGAAGCCCCCAGGGGGTGGTGCCGCACAGCGCCCCCCCAGCAAGACACACCCCTCGCACGTTTCGTGGCCCAGTTCTTGAATCAAAGACTGGCAGGGGGTGGTGCCGCACCGCGTCCACCAGCCCCTTTCGGCACACCCCTCAACCGCTTCGTGGCCCGATGGAAGCCACACCCAAGCCCCCAAGAGGGTGGGCACAGAGCGTCTCTAAGCCATGTAGGCACAGTCGAAAACAAGCTGGTAAGCTTAGGTATGTGTTACGCTTTAAGCGTTGCCATATCCCAGGCTTTGGCTCATATCGCATGAGCAAGAGTGCAAGACGAAGCATGGGATCTGGAGTAAAGGATAGGATGGGCATCGTCAATGGAAAAGGTATTTTCCGATCTCTGATGCAAGTCGTGCGCCTCAGTGAGGCACAGTCATATATTTGGCCGGGCCCGGCTTGAGCCAGGCACGGCAGCGGTACATGCTCGATTTATACCTCGCCTTTAACCTTCTCCGTTTAAAGTCGGAGGGGGAGGAGACGAGCAGGTACCGCACTTCTACATTATGCGGAAAAACAGTGCTAAGCAGCAGCGGCTGCCTACAAGGAAAGGGCGCGCGAGTAGCCTCGCTACCGGCGAGTTTCCTCGCTACTAAAGCGCACCTGCCCGCGGGTTTCCCCGCTGGCTCGGGAGGCAGGGCCGTCCTGAGACGACCTGCCCGCCCTATACGGCGTATGTTTCTTCAGCTCGTGCTTGAAGGATTGCTGGCCGGCCATTACTTGTAGGAGCAACGCGCGGTCAATACTACCTTTGGTATGACCATCGGCAGTCATATCCCGCGTGTCACACCATTGGACGCTTTCCACGATTCCGCGTTCCATCATCTGGCGGATCCAGCTGATGTGCCCAAGCAGAGTACATTCTGTGGGCTTCTTCAGATCTTTGCTAGACAAAGACTTGAAGACAGACTCGGCATCAATAGTCAGAGTGACTTTGATACATAGACCACCCATTTCCAATATGTTCTTTAACTGTGTGGGGGTCAATGGTCCCGAGTGTAGCTCGTGGAGCGTTACAATGGTCGGGTAGCAGTCTTCCAAGTTGTGGGCTGCTGCCAGTGTTTCCGCAGAGTAGCTCGAACGCACCTGCAGTCGATGAGACTTGCAGTATGCGTCCACCAGGTGCACGACGGGTTTCCCCGCTTGCGTGTGGCCACGCCTCAGCAGGTTAGCCCCGCGGATACCATAGCCTTTGACTTCGTCGTCTTCATCTCCGTTGAGACGACGATAGCCAGAATCGCTATGCAGGTCGACTTCTCCTGTTGGGGTCATAGCTTGATACACGATCTTCTTCGGACCTGCCTGTAGTTTCTGGTAACCGCGTTTAGTCGTCGTACCTGGATGTTTGTCGGTTCCTGGATACGTTGTAGTGAGACAACATAGACCATCAGCCATACCTGCGTGATCAACGCATAGGCTAGAGCGCCACGAAGACTGACGAACATATCAGAAATCGTCTTTGTCGCTTTGCTCTCAGGATCAGCTCCTGTGAGTTCTGGATGTGTGATAGGACGAAGCTGTTTGATGTATTCGTCCTGATCGAGAGTGACGCTCCCATCATCGGTCTTGTTGTACCGAACGGCACAGTTTGTGTATGTGTGCTTGTTCAGTTTGCACTTCCCAAACGTATCTTCAACACACTTGACATACTTGTCAATAGCCTCTTCCTTCCCAGTCATATTGATGTCATCAACGTGCTTGGCTGTCAAGAGGTTTGGGCTCATCTCGAACTCTTCGTCGTATGAAGTAGGCTGTAGCCCAAAGCTCCTAGTGATGGACCTGAGCTTCAGCGAGAATGCCCTGGGAGCATCCTTCGTGCCCGTCCCCGGTTTCAGACACCGGAGACAATGCTTTGATTCGTCATATGACTCAAAGCCTGGCAGTGTGCGAAGGACAGCTGCTGACCCAGGTGGTAGTGTGAAGCACACCACACGCTCTTTCTCGCCCGTTGCCGCGGCGAGCTCGCCATAGGTCAGTCCCTTCAAGAAAGCCATGTTGATGTCCAGGGAAGCGATGATCCAAGCTTTGTTGCATGCAGCAGAACTTGCGAGCAGTCTCTGGCTTGACCTCCTTGCCGTGCCAGAGAAGGTTTCGACATCAAAGGCTTCAAGGTCCATGAAGCCACGGAGTACCAAGCGTAACCTGATCGTCCTTTCCATTTCGCCCTTTTCGTTCTTGACAAACTTCCATTTGTATACGTAGCGTGACGTCATGATGTTAGACGCCTTGCTTAAGTCAGTCATCTGGAAGCATTTGTTGTCAAGCCAAGTCTTCAATTCTGTGTAGAGGGCTTTGGAAACTTTGACCGGATTTGCTTGGATGTCGGCCTTCGTGAGTAGATCGTCTTCCTTGACGACCACGGCACGTTTGGAGGCAGCGCTAACGTATACTCGCATAGTTGTGACGCTGCTGTCATCCAACAATCGGTGTTGCTGCTCGGACAGGACGACTTTGGACATGTCTGCAGTGAAGCAGAGCTCGATGTACTTCCCGTGCTCATCGGAGTCCAGATCATATTTGCTATCCGGATCCGTGGAGCATAAAGGAACGTAGTAAGAAGTGTCCATGTCGTATCCTGGCGGGTGACCCCGCTCCGGCAAGTGGCCTTGCACATCTTCACAGGTCGTAGAGACTAACACACACTGTGTGTCTGTCATGTATGTGGGAACTGTATGCATGACTTCCTCTGTGTCAGCTTCAAGGAGTGTTCTGTCATCCATCAGTTCAGCATACCACGACTTCAAGACAAAAGCATCCAGATCTTCTTCTGTTTCCTCTATGATGGTCGGGAGCCGACCATCGTTATCCGTAGGAGGCTCCTCAGGAGCAGCTGCTGGAGGTGATTCGCTTGGTGGTGGACCATCAGCGAGTTCCTCAAACTTAGTGAGGTCTTGGTCAAATCCAGCAGACGGCTTCCTGGATTTAAGACACTGGATGATGCGTGAGTGTGTAGATCCTGTGATGTCATAGATGTTCAAGGCAGTGCCATCAGCTTCATAGTAATGAAAACCAGGGGTCACATCATTATCATAGTGCACTAGTGTACAGCTGTCTGCATAGGGTGCAGCAGGCAACTTCGTCAGGCTCTTGGCAAGTCGTACAGCAACAACGTTTTCAATACGAAAGTAGTTGCGTATGAGGTACTGAAGAGCCAAGTGCACCTTAGGCGAAAGTCGGCTCGCAGCAGTCATCTGCAGCCGACCCTGTTTCGCTGGTAGATATCCGAAAGTCATGGCGGGTTTCCCCGCTGGCAGACCGGCAATAAAGGCCAATACTGTCCGAAGGGCCGTATTGTCCGATCCTATCTCGCGGACCATAAGTGCTTCGATGTACAGTGTGTGTCGTGTGTCAGGATACTGTACTCGCACTTCGCGACTGCCGACCTTCACGATGACCTGGCCTCGGTCAGGTTCGTTGCGGATGACCGGGTATGGACCACTCCATCCACCCCAGTCGTCTTTCGTGGTGGTCGGGCGATGATAGTCCACGAGATCTCCCTCTTTGTAGTGAAATTCACCCGTAGCAGTAGTCTTCG